AACCCTTTTAATCTTCTAGTTCAAGCAATTAGCTCTACAAATATTAGCTGCAATCAAGGTCTAGCACATGTGGTAATTTTCCCCCTAATAAATCAATCAATTCTTTCTTAGGAGTGTTTTTCCCCCCCTTACAGTCATTAGAGAATTACAATGCTACTTCAGGATCACCAGCAACTTGAATTAGTCAAGAAGTGTCAATCAAATTTGCCAGATTTGCTTTAAATATGAGAAAAAATGGGATAGATTCACAAAGGGCTCTTGTCTTAGAATAGGAAGCTTGATAAACCCTTGTTGAGTCTCTCTTAGAAAGGCCTTGGAGTATAATGATCCATTTGGAAGAAAACTGAAATCAGTATTACCAGTGACAAAGCAGACAAAACCCAGAAACTCTTATTTAAAAAATCTAAAAATTAATAATTGGAATAATCAACCATCTAGTATCTCTAGGCAATCCAATATCCTATAATAGCTAATGGGTTAGTACAGAAAAGAAAGAAAGAAAGAGAAATAATACAGCAAATGGACAAATTTTCATTCTATAACTTGTAAAAAAAACTTTGCAGTTATAAGGGATCTGAAGGATCATCTGATCCATGTCTGTCACTGTGCTTCTCTGAGCTGACTTCAGGGCAGGGTTGGGAGCAGGGGCTCTTAGGGTGTAAGGGGTAAGTGGGGAGAGCTCCTTAATCCCCACCCCATCTTGGGTAGAAGCTCAATATTTATCTCTTTTTCTACACAAGAGTTCAGTTAAGGGAATGGTTTCTCTGGTTAAAAATAATTTGAGAATTGCTTATGTAGCCAAGACCACTTTTTTCACTATGGAGTAACATGAATGCCACAGAAATGATGGAATTCTTATTTTAGTGATAGACGTGGAACCAGACCCTGGGTAACATCTTTCTCCCCAGTGCTCTTTCCACACCATGACATTCTGTCTTTCATTCTTAGGGAGAAAATCAGGTGAGAATTCCCATGCCCCTGGATTTGGATCTTTTGTTTACTTTTGTGTTTGAATGACCACGTGAAAAACTAAAGAAGCCTGGAAGTAAAAGCAGAGTCTGCAGTTGTACTCCTGTCTCTATATTGTTTCTAGTCACTCTAAAGAATTATAACATCGCTGAGCACCTGAAAGGGGTCATGAGGGAGGGTGGAATGGCCTAATTCCGTTTTCTTACGTTGCCAACTGTATTGCTGTTGGGATTGAGAGAAGTAAAGCTATCAGGAGGATACTTGGTGAAAACTTGCTGACATTAATGACTCAAATTCTCAGAGAAAGTGCAAGGAAAATGGTGTCATCACTGTCATTCAAGACATTTAAAATGAAATTTCAAAAGAAGGCTGTCAGACATAATGACTGCCAGGTTCTATTATATCATTCTCAGAGGGTGGATCACACACAATGCTATGCAGTCTGTGGGTGGCTGATATTGAAGTTTGAAAGGAAGCTGCACAGAGATGAGGTGGGGTGGGCGTCAGACCCACAGGGGGCTGCTTCACAACCAAGCGACACCACCATTGACATTCACATGGTGACTTGGGGTGAATCTATGATCCAGGACCTGGTCTTTGCTCTTGGATAGGTTACAGCTTGACCCCACCAGCACATTTTGACAAGGTCATGCTCTTGGTGCTGAATAGAATTCAGGAAGTTTGAACTATTCGTGGAAGTGCCAGTTTATTAATTTGCAATAAGAATATTCCTCTCTAGTGACCAGATGTTCATGTCTGCATGCGTTCTGCCCTGAGACACCTTCAAAACCTAGAAAGTAATTGTAAGGCAGCTGTATGAGAATGGGGGCAGAGCCCTGTTTCTCAGCCTTGGCTGTACATTGCAATTATCTGGGATGCTTTAACACTAAGACATACTCCAAAATCAAATAAATCTGAATCTCAAAGATTAGAACCCAGACATCAGTATTTTAAAAATCTTTTCAAGTGATTCCAGTGAGCAGCCACAGTTGAGAACCACTGGCTTAGAGCCAAGAGGCCATCCACCCCAGCCACCATGAGCCTGAGGCCTCATTCTTTCCACACAGGGATGCATACTTTTGCATGTTATAGACCAGTGGGTGAATGGGTGGTTAAGCTGGGAACAGATATGTTTGTCAATTTTTTAATTTGCCAAGTAACGATATTGAAAATTCAATTACCATGATGTCATTAAGGAAAGGAAATTCTAACAACAAAAATTAGGAAGGACACAATTTCAGGATAAAAGATCAACTCACTATGTTGTATTTATTTTTCTCATGTTTCTTTCAGGGAAAACTTGACTGATACAAACTTAAGAACTGGTATGATCTAATTGGTTTCTACATCTATAGTGAGGGTTTTTCTTCTTGGACAGCTTTAGATACATTTGGCTGGATTTGGTTCATTAAACCAATGTCTTGTGCTAACTACCCTCCGCTTACCATATCCTTTCTTTAAGAGGTGTTAATAGTATTGATTATGTTGTAGGTAATTTCCGCTCCCAGGCTTGGAAATGTTCTGTTCTTTCCAATTACAGAATATGGTGATTTAATGGGCTCAGTTCTTCTCAGATATCTTAAACTAAGGTTTCTGGAATGGGTGTAGCATACATACCTCCAGATGACTGCTTAGTGGGGGACACTGCTGCCCCCTTGTTTTGCTAGTGCACATGATGGAAATACTTTAAATTCAATGGAGAATTCACAGGGAGGTCAAATACCTGTGATGAGTTGTTGATTGTGTGTGTCAAGTTACATGAAATAAAAAGACATACTTATATTGTAAACCCAATTCTGAGTGTGTCTTTGGAATTTTGTGTATGCCTTTTTCTTCTGAGGTCATAGTTTATGTTGTCCCCATCTTTCCTTGAAGGGATTTTGGTGTTCTTGCATTAGTTCTATACGTAGTTACTGATCTTTAACAAGACAGGCTTTGGCAACTACTAAGAGAAGGTAGCTGTGCCAGGAAGTCCAAAACTGTACCTCAAAGTTCCCCTCAAAGTGCCTGTAACCTAAGACTAATTTATGCTGACAAGGACATGAAATAAATCTTCATTTATTTATTTATTTTAAGCTTCCATGCTTAAAGGTAGATCAAAGAAGAGAAGCTAGCATAGATATGTGCTTCTGACCAACTGGTAAAGTTCTATTTGCAGATGTCTGTGTCGTCCGAGTACCCAAGATGTATAGTGGGTGACTCTGTCCCTGTTACTTGCAGCCCAACCCAACCCAAACTGAAGAGCTTGTTACCTCTTCAAGGTCAAGGGTTTCACTCAGAATAGCACATAAACCTCAAAGTTAGAAGACCGGATTTGAATCCCAAATCCACTACTCTCTAGAGCAAATTGCTTGACCTCTCTGAGCCTCAGTTTCCTTATCTATAAAATGGGGATCTTCATCATCAGCTTATATGATAGTTGTGAGAATTACATATGATAATATGGTAAAATATTTAACAATGTGCCAGACATGCTAAGTTCTTACTAAAAGACAAGTTAACTTTGTATGTCAGAGCCTTACACAATAATGTGGGATAGATCTGATATTTAGTAAACATACACACACACACACACACACACACACACACACACACACACACACACACCAGTCCTGTATCTGCTTTTAGAATGAGGAATCTCATTGGAACTGCAGTTAAAAAGCTGTTGCTGAATTTTAAACTTTAGATTTCAGATCTTGACAATTTAACCCAACTCACTTTGCTATGTTATCTTGCTCATGACTTTGTCTCTTGCCTCCCTAACTGATTACCTCTGCTGGGATCCTTGTTTTTCTGTGGTGATTCTTGGAGCCAGCCACCTATCCAAACACAAGCCCTTCCTTCTATGACCATGCCCTTGTCTTCATTATAGATTCTGGTGCTTCTCAGACCCAGGACCACATTCCCTTGCTATCGTCCTGAAGCAGCTGAATGTTTTAAAACATTTAGAAGTCTAGGTGTCTGCACCTGTGTGTGCCAGGAAGCATTTGAGTCAAATTCTCTATTGATAAACTGGTTTTAAATTGTGGATCTGGAGAAATGGAGTTAGGGCGACAAGCCCTGGTAGTTAGCCTAGGGTGCAGAACCCAATTCAGTTCAATATTTTATCCTATGATTAATATTTTTCAAAATCAATTAATTACCAATAAATATACATGTGCTTCCTACCTCTGGCAAACCTCCTGTCCCCCCACCAAAAACAAAAACTTAACATTTTTTTATTAATAAATCAATACATGAACTTCTCAAATTGCTGAAAATTTAGCATAGGAGCCAAGCCTGTTTCTGAAAGTTTCAACTCACCCAATCAGGCAAAAGGCTGAGGAAAGGGGAGGCATTTATCAAGTTACACAGAGGACTCCATCTGTTATTTTAGACCTTCGTTACCAAGTGACACAAGAAGAGATCTTCCAAGGCAGTTTGAAAGAGTTTTATTTTACAGATTCTTAAAGAGTTCAAATTAGATGGAAGCAACCTTCTATGACCATGCCCTTGTCTTCATTATAGATTCTGGTGCTTCTCAGACCCAGGACCACATTCCCTTGCTATCGTCCTGAAGCAGCTGAATGTTTTAAAACATTTAGAAGTCTAGGTGTCTGCACCTGTGTGTGCCAGGAAGCATTTGAGTCAAATTCTCTATTGATAAACTGGTTTTAAATTGTGGATCTGGAGAAATGGAGTTAGGGCGACAAGCCCTGGTAGTTAGCCTAGGGTGCAGAACCCAATTCAGTTCAATATTTTATCCTATGATTAATATTTTTCAAAATCAATTAATTACCAATAAATATACATGTGCTTCCTACCTCTGGCAAACCTCCTGTCCCCCCACCAAAAACAAAAACTTAACATTTTTTTATTAATAAATCAATACATGAACTTCTCAAATTGCTGAAAATTTAGCATAGGAGCCAAGCCTGTTTCTGAAAGTTTCAACTCACCCAATCAGGCAAAAGGCTGAGGAAAGGGGAGGCATTTATCAAGTTACACAGAGGACTCCATCTGTTATTTTAGACCTTCGTTACCAAGTGACACAAGAAGAGATCTTCCAAGGCAGTTTGAAAGAGTTTTATTTTACAGATTCTTAAAGAGTTCAAATTAGATGGAAGCAGCAGCTGCAAAGGAGAAAAGCCAAGTTCATGTGAGGAGGAAGCCTTCGCCCTGACATTGTATTGACATTGAACCTGGTGAGACCCACGGCCGATGGTGAGTGGGTCTTTTCAGCTGGTTCTGTCCGATCAGCTTCTATAATAAATGCAGTCAAAGGGGCAGTCACTTCTCATCGGTCACAAGGGTCTTGTTTTTGAACGTCACCCTCACAAAAGCCGTTTCTCAACATGCCAAACCAGCAGAAGAAAGTCATTTTTTGCATGGCTGGGGTGTTAAGCTTTGCGTGTGCCCTCGGAGGTGTCACAGCCCTGGGAACACCGCTGTGGATCAAAGCCACCTTTCTCTGCAAAACGGGGGCTCTGCTCGTCAACGCCTCAGGACAGGAGCTGGACAAGTTCACGGGTGAGATGCAGTATGGGCTTTTCCACGGAGAAGGCATGAGGCAGTGCGGGTTGGGAGCCAGGCCCTTTCGGTTCTCATGTAAGTAACAATGACATTTGAATTATTTAATATTTTAGGCACACAATTCCAAGTGTTGCAAGGAATTATTTCTAAGAGCCTTTCCCTCTTTATGACAGGACTTTTCAAACAGGTGTGAACCATTTGAAATACCTAGGACTCTTCTGAGCAACTTCTTCCTAGTTTTTATTATTTTGTTTTTATTTTATTATTTCATCCTTGCCACTTTTATTATAACATAGAGTTAGTGAGTTGTGGAATTAAGCTTTTTGAAAAAACAAGCTATTAAAAAAATTCTTCTTAAATATTAATATTCATGTGAGAAATTATGGGATCTTTTTAAAAGGCGGGTGGAGAAATAGGAAAGGTATGGGAAATGATCTTCATTTTGTTCTTAGAAAAAAGGATCAGTTTATGGGCTCCTTAACCAACTCCAACTGCTTTCCCACCCTGCCCAGGGCTGTTCCTGTCTACCCTCTATGACTCCCTCCTAAGACCTTTCCTGCTGATAAATATTCTTTTTTAAAAAAAGCAATTTGGATTCACTTGGCTATAGAGATTGAAAATAATCTGCTGTGCTAACTGGGAAAGAAATACATGCCTATTTAGTATAGAAGGTTTGCAGCTGACTAACCTTCAAATCATGTCGAGAATATGAGACAGATTTTCCTGTTGGCGATTTTTGTGAAACGGAAGGGTTACCTACAGTACTAATAACCTGTTTACCTTAAGAGAATTTTTTTAAAAATTACCATGTGAATAGGCAACTCATTAAATGAAAATTAATAAGAAGTCATTTGTTATATCTCTTATAACACACATTCAGAAATTATTATTATTTCAAAAGGGCTGGTTTGGAACAATCTTATGAAGACACAGCCAGTAAATTACTGCATAAATCACTCTTGAGGAAAGGAGGTTATCAACTGAGGCATTTAAAATGAATTATTATTTTGCCTGGATATTTTTTTTCTCTAGCATAGGTAGAAAGCTAAATTAATTGAATTTATTATTAACATATGCAGTGTCTAATTAGATTTCAGTGCTAGCCTATTTATATTTCTGTAACATTTCTTGTATCTTCTTAACAGTCATTGGACACCAACCTTCAACTCACATAGGTTATTAAGTGATAGGAATTGTCACAGGACTCCAGAAAATCCCCAAGAATTAGTTTTAGCTTTTCAAGAAATTATCACCCACTACATTTGATGAAGTGGATACCAACTCTTTTCACTGAATGGCTTTAGTTCATTAGGGTAATGGGGCAGCTAGAGTTGCTTAGCTTTCCTTAGGGGAGAAAAAAGAACAATGCAGAATATCACATGACTGGCAACTGTGTTAAAAAATAAAAAAAGGAAAAAAGATGAGTGAAATGATTTAATCATGATTCCCAGGCAGCTAAAAGCATGAGTAAAGCTCCTCACAAATGAACTTGGACAAAAGCAGGGAAAATTCACTGAATCTTCTGGAGACTTTCCATTTTCCACAGCAAAACAGTGATAAACTTTACTCATGGCATAGGACATGTTTCAAGACAATAATATGTTTTCTGAACACTTACTAGGCACCAAGCATTATGTATGTTTTGTCTTATTTAATCCTCACACAGCCACATTTCTGTGTTCAATCATTGTTTGATTTTTATTAAAGTATCACTGAATAAAATCTTATATTGGTTTCAAATATACAACACGGTGGTTCAACAGTTACCCATATTATTAAATCCTCACCCCTGCTAGTGTGTTACTATCTTTCAATACACAGAAAGATGTTACAGAATTTCAGTCACTGGTTTTGTATGGCCGTGTCCCATGCTGGCCCTGTCTATGATGCTCTGATCAGGAGTCCCTCCCTTTGCTTCCAGGAGGACTCACAGCTGGGGGGTTTCAACAACACACTCAGCCCTCTCTCAGAACCACATCAGTGATACTCTGCATCACTAATACTGATGATGATCTGAACGTACCCCCAGCTGGTGCAGGAAAGCTTACATTTGCTTATTTGTTTGGCGGTGACACCGCTCTCCACATACTATCCTAGACATGTTAAAACTGCATTCATTTCGATGAGACCCAGTAAAATATACTTACAATATACCTTTTTTCTTCCTAAGCATAAAACTGTCTCTTCCATTGGAACATGAGAGAAAGTTGGGGAAACTGTAGAATAAATAGATCAAGTAAATTCCCTAAAAAGTGTAATGCTCATTTATCCAAACATTCCTCTCAGTGATGAGAAATTCCCAATCAGTGTGCCCTCAGGACACACTGCACCCTCTAAGTTGACACCCCCATTGTGATACAGCTTCGGGATCCACACCTTCCCATTCAAATGGCTGTCATGCTGTCAGTTATGTTCCATCAATATATTCTTGAAGGAATAGAGTCCTCTGATAGGAAAGTATAACCCTATTAATACAAAAGAAAAGAACCTAGCCCAGTCTTCCCAGTAATGGCTTCCTTCTAGCAAAACCCACAGCCTCCGAAGAACTCAGGCTGAATGATTCTTTTCTGTTTCTTACAGAGCTCAACTAATGATTAGAGCACAGCTTATTTCCCAGAGCTTCCCTCTTTCTCATTTTCCCTTCAGGAAGTTAACATTAAGCAAACACTTGGCTTTTCAGAACCTTTTTAGTGTAAGAGGAATGGAAAAGGTAACATCAAAAGATCAGTCACTCTGTGGCCAGTTTTCCTCATGTTGTCATATTATCAGTTACTGTGAATTTACATTTCAATTCTGTTGGATTTCGAACCGCTCCCTTGCTTACCAAACTTCACATGTCAACTGGCATTATTCAACAGAAATATAACGCAAGCCACATATGGAATTTTAAAAGTTCTAGTGGCCACATTAGAAAAAAATAGTAAAGGCAACAAATGTAGTTAATTTTAAAATTAATTATAATGACATTTTCTTTAACCTGAGATACCCAGAATATTGTCATTTTAACATGTGGTCAATATAAAAAAATTATTGGGATACTTTACATTATTTCTTTAATGCTAAATCTTTGAAATCTAGTGTGTATTTTATACTTACAGGACATCTGAATCCAGGCTAGCCACATGTCAAGTGCTCACTGGCGTTTTGATGTGCCTCGTAGCTGTCACACTGGACAGTACAAATTTAGAAGGAGATTTATTCTGAATAAATTGAGCATTGATGGTGTCCATATTCTAAAAGAACTTTTTGCTTGGTTGTGCTGTACAAGTTTATGTGGTTATTTTTATGTATAATGTATGTGTCACTTTTAAAACCCAGATATATGGAATAACATGAGGATGAAGGATGGATCAGGAAAATAGTTAGGCAATGTTGTCCTGTTTGTTCCCATTTAATGTTCCCTATTGACCACTCTATCTCTTTTAATTCTAACGAGGTTCTTCCCTGCCAACATGCACTGTTATGCTGGGAAAATTTCTGCCTCGTTTACTCTGGGTGATTCCCATTCATTTACGGGTCAGTAGTTCATTTTCTAGAGGTCACTGGCACTCATACCTAATGCAATTCCATTCATTATAATGAAGGATTGTTTTCCTTACAAGGTAACACAACCGGTGGGCTTAGTTTTTCCTGTTATGTCATCTGTAAGATTTTAGTGATGATGTTTAAACTCTAAATGTAGCCATAAAGACAAAAACTGACAGTTTTGAGCTCAATGTATGTGGGAAGGTTTCTGTTTTGGTGGGTTGAAACACCACCGAGCATCATCAAAATATGATACCCAAGAATCATATGGTATCAATCATTCCTAGATATGCTGATCTATTCATTGCCAAGACAGTTCAATGAGCTGGTAAAACATATGGAATATTTTCTATTTTGAGATGTGAAAAACAAAAATTAACCAATCATGTATCACAGCTTGCAACTTTAGTCATACTTTGAGAAGCTTTTTAATTTGGACCTTATGATTGAAAACTTGTAAAAAGCTTAACAGAGATTTAGCTGACTTCATATTTTAGAAATGCAGAGTGCCTTTGCTAACTGAGGCATGCCACCCAGGTTTCGGAGGAGATGTTGGCAGCTACGTGTGGGAGCAAGCAGTGGCTTCCCAAAGATATTTTGGTGGTAGAACAGTCGGGTCTCAAGGCCTCTGTGACCACTGCTCAGGGCTGGCACACTGTCCCCGTGGTCTCCAGCAAGCATGGCTCCTGTCTCCTGCTGACTAGCCCCTGCCGGTGACTGACTGGTCACCACCCTGCACATGCTGTATCTCTCCCGTCACCCTGCCCACCCACGGCAGAGCTGTAAAGACCTCTGAGGTCCCTCCTTCTGACAGCACTGCTGTCTCTCCTCCCTCCTAGTGCATGGACAGCGTGGAAGCAGGTGTGCTGGGGTGAGAGGGCAGCCTGAGGAGTCAGCAGGGGCAACTACCTGGCGTGAGGGAAGGGGAATGGAAGCAGCACGTGCCCTTTCACCTAGCATACACACACCCTCCTGCCTTGCACCTCAGGGCCCTATTATCTAGGCCCAGTCGCCCAGTAAAACAGCCTGGCAAATAGAGATTTTGTTTCTTTCCATTGAAAAAAAGAAAAGCAATTAATAGGACAGAAGATAGTAATGTTTACGAAGCAGTAGTGTGAAGGGAAAACCTCCAAATTGTCTTGGCCAAGGAATTTTTTCCTCCTTTGGCTTTCCCAGACCTTGATGTTCACTCTGTTATTGCAAATTACCTTATCTTATAAGTATTTGAGAAGGTGTATTTCTCTACAAGGAGATCCTGAGCCTCGCGAAGGCAGAGGCTGTATACTCATCCTGTTCCTCTCTCACACCAGGGCCGAAGCACAGTGTATGTCACACAGAGGTACTTAATAAATGCTTGGTGAACTGACACTACTGAGATGAGGTAACCTGGGTTTGGGGCTGGCCTCTGCCACTCACTGGGGGTTAGATGGCGAGCGAATCACACCACTTCATACGTTTTCAGTTCTTGCATCTGTAAAATGGGAGGTGAAACAAGGTGATGTCTAACATCTCTTCCAGTTCAAATGCTTTGTGATCTATATAATGAGGGG